TTTTATTTATTTATTTTTTTGACAGAGAGAGACACAGCGAGAGAGGGAACACAAGCAGGGGGAGGGCAGAGGGAGAAGCAGGCTCCCCGCCGAGCAGGGAGCCCCATGTGGGGCTCCATCCCAGGACCCTGGGACCATGACCTGAGCCGAAGGCAGACACTTAACGACTGAGCCACCCAGGCGCCCCTGAATGGAGACATTTTCAAAGATGAAATATGTAAAGTCTCATTACAGATCAGCATTCATAGCTCAATGTGATCATAGGGAACACTAACCTTGATCCTAATTAAGCAAAATATCATCCCAAAGAATTCCATTCTTCTCATTTGCATACCTGGATGATAAAAAAGTTATACTCAATCACTATTCTATTTTGAATTTAACACATTTGTACAAATTTTTTTCTCTTGTTACACAAGTACCTACATAAATAATACTGTTGATTTTTCTCCTGTCCTGAAAAGCCTAAAATATTTACTATCTGGCCCTTTACAGAAAAATCTGGTGTGTCTCCCCCGCCCCCTGTGTAAAGAGTTGAATGGAACTGATTTCTCTGAGCTAAGCTAAGTCCTCTAGTGGAAGGATCATCCCGCTCAGAATTTTACTAATGACATTCCAGAATGCTGTCCAGCCCACAAGTAACTAAATGACAGGAAGAACATGACCGCACTTTAAAACACTAGACTAGGGGCACCGGGCCGGCTCAGTCAGAAGAGCATGTGACTCTGGATCTCAGGGTCATGAGTTTAAGCCCCATGTTGGGTGTAGAGATTACTAAAAAAAATAAAAATAAAACTTAAAAAAAAAAAATCACTAGAATAAAGTGGGCCAATGCTTTCTGTAGTGGCCAGTAGAGCTTCTGGATATGGCAGCTAAACCTAGTTCAGAGAGATCACTCTGGGAAAGAAGTGATTATTAAGTTGATATTTTAGATAGCGTGGTATGAAAAATTATAATGGGAATATGAACGTTATTAGTATTATAGTAGCAAAGTAATAGGAAGGAAAAATCATCAATGAGCTTTTTTGTTTTAGGGAGATAAACTTAGAAATATATGTAAAACAAGAATAGTGACTGAGAGCAATTGATAAGAGAAAATTTATTGCATAGGAGGAAAAGATCTCAAAAAAATAGGTTAATAAATGCAGTAGAAACTCAACAGGTCAACCAATCCTTGTGGAGAAAGCGTCTGAGAACTGCCGACCTTATGAAGTCAGTGAAGTAAATATATCAAGTACCCACACCTACATGGTCATGTCTCTTCTACTCTCAGAATTATTGCTGGAAAAGAATCAAGGGCAGGAGAAAGGGACAGACACTTGTTCTCATGTCCTTGGTAAGGCAGCAACATAGGAAGACTGCCTGGCCTTAACCGTCACCAAGGGGATTGGACCTGCCCAAATAGGGAAGAACAAAGTCAACAGTAGGTCCCAAGGCTGTGCACTCTCTACAGAGGCAGCCTCAGGGCTAGGAAGTAAGGAATCTGGACAAGTGCTTGAAAAGCCTTGTCAGTCCTTTGAGTCTAGACTGTAATTTTCTTAGAAGAAAAATAAAATGCCATCCGGAAACCCTTGGAATGAGCAAGATCGGGCAGAATTACAAATCTTTATGTTACAGCGCCCCCCCCCCTTTTTTTAAATGCTTCCTTGTTTGTTTTTTCTAAGATTTTATTTGAGGGAGAGAGAGAACACAAGTTGTGGGGGAGGGGCAGAGGGAGAGGGAGAAGCAGACTCCTCACTGAGTAGGGAGCCCCATCCCCATCCCAGGACCCTGAGATCACGACCTGAGCTGAAGGCAGAGGCTTAACCGACTCAGCCACCCAGATGCCCCTTAATGCTTCCTTGTTGCTTCTCCATTCATTTCCGTTTTGTTATATCTTAGCATCTAGAAACATTTTTTGGATTTTTTTTTTAAAGCTTGTCTCAGCTGTGCTAAGGAAGAGTAAAGAAAAATACTTAAAAAATTTTATTGCGAAAAATTCCAAACACATACAAAAGTAGAGTACTATGCTAACCCTCCCCACCCTGGCCCAAACACACATCATGTCACCTACCTTAACCTACTTACCAACACAGGGACATTTTTGTTTCCACCTTTCTCCAGTCCACACTCCATTCCCCAGTGGACTATTTTGAAGCAAAAGGAGAGACATTTTGATCCATCTGTAAGACAAATTTTTCAAGAGGGGATCATGGCACTTTGTCAGAATGACGGTTGTATCTGAAATCCAAACTGGGGGCAAATCCAACCACTCTTCTGTATTCTGAGACTGATAATTCCTTCCTGGTGCTAAAATTTACTTTGGAAGACATCAGTTTCCTGATCAGCAAAACAAAGAAAATGGACTAAATTATAGGCAGTTGTGTGACAGTAAAGTGCGACTTCGACTTTGAGTTAGAAAACCTGGCTTAAGAGTGCCAGCTCTGCCCCCTGCAAATTACATAATTTATGGTAGTTTATGTCAGCAAGTCACTTAACCTCTCTGAGCTTCTGGAACATTTATAAAAAAGCTCTTCATGGGACTTTGGTTGGAGTAAGTAATGTATTACGGGAACTTTTGTGAATTGGAAAGCACTATATAAATTAGGTATTATTGAGTTCTTCAGTTAAGTAAAAGATGACTCAGATTTGAGTCTGCAAATTAGAAAAACATTGACACATTTGATAGAAAAGGGGAAGCTGAAAGGCACAATTTAATCCAAATGGAAGCTTGTCTTGAACACACGGGTTGATACAGGGCTAACCATCAGGTCCAAATATTTATTTTAAATAGTTATTATGCTAATTAACAGGAAATAGTGACACAACCTCTTTACCTTCACTACAATCAATCTTCATTTTTCTCTGGCTTCTTCTCATCTTTATCCACCTACAGCCAAACACTATTTATTAAGTATATATTATGTGCTGGGCACTGTGTTAGGCCCTGGGAATACAAAAAGTAATAGTAAAGTAGGCAGGCCTCCAAGATGCTCGGATTAGGAAGGGAGTGAAGCTTATAAGCAATCACAATGGAATGTATTAAGAATTTAGGCTGTGATAAAAAAAAAAAAAGAAATCTTGCCATTTGCAACATGTGGATGGAACTAGAGGATATTATGCTAAGCGAAATATATCAGTCAGAGGAAGACAAGTATCATATGATCTCACTGATATGAGGAATTTGAGAAATAAGATCATAGGATCATAGGGGAAGGGAGGGAAAAATGAAACAAGACAAAACCGGAGAGGGAGACAAACCATAAGAGACTCAATCTCAGGAAACAAACTGAGGGTTGCTGGAGTGGAGGGGGGTGGGAGGGATGGGTGGCTGGGTGATGAACACTGGGGAGGGTAAGTACTATGGTGAGTGCTTTGAATTGTGTAAGACTAATGAATCACAGACCTGTACCCCTGAAACAAATAATACATTATATGTTAATTAAAAAAATTTAAAAAAATTTAGGTTGGGACCACAGTGTTTGCATAGGTACCATAGGATGTGGTCAGATTTTGTTCTACTTTTAGAATATATGTGTTTCAGAGTCACCAATAGGCAGGTGACTCCTAAAGCCTTCATGATTAGCCTACCAAAGGAGAAGCTGTAGAGAGATTAAGGGATGAGCTTCTTCTACACATAGAGGCTGGAGAGAAAAGTGCTATCAAAAAAAGACCAAGAGGGGCGTCTGGGTGGCTCAGTCGTTAAGCGTCTGCCTTCGGCTCAG